AAGATGAAAGGGGTTGCGTTGAATCAGACGTATGACGAAGTCAGTGACCGCCCCCTCTCGGCTGATACCATTTAATTAACAGAAATAAAAACGAGTAACTCCAAGTGTTTCTCGTCCCGTCCGCAAAGTATGCCACCTTGTCAGGAGACGTCGCTTCGTTTGCAAGGCTGCTGGGAATGAATCGACAGGCAGGAGCTCTGATCATTAGTGCTTCGTTATCAAAGAGGGATCCCTCAGCGGTGGCCCTGTGTGCATTGTCCCGCGATGAGCTGGTGTCCCGTCCAGTGCGGAGCCCTGCTCTGCTCGCTGTATTTCCGTGCCTGGATTGGGATTGCCCCCGAAGAATGATGAGTGGTTGGCTTTCTGGTCATGGATGGATGTTGTGTTTGCAGACAGCCCTTTCTCTGACGCGCCGTTTCTGTGCTTGACCTCCTGCAGCGAGAACATGGCCATGCACCCCAGATCCCCCGGGCTGGACTCCTCTGGGGCCCTGCAGGTGCCCACCGGCGGCGCACATCCCTGTAGCGCCTCAGGCAGAGGCATGGGACTGGCCGCTCAGGCCAACGGTGTGCCGGCGCCAAGCTCAGCCCAGCACACGCTGTCCTCCCAGCCACAAGAGGGAGCACCTCTAGGCCAGCACAAGGATATACCAAGGTGAGCGCGACTGCATGTGGCAGGAGTGTGTGGTACCGAAGGGATGTCTAACGGACACTGATGGAACCTACTTCTTGATCATGTGCATTGAATTGGCATGCTGACCGGCCCGCTCGAGGCTAGCTTCTCATGCAGTGTGTCTCACCCTCTCCATTGTGAATTTGCACTGTGAAAGGTGTAAAAGTCACAATCCTCTGCTGTATAATCAGCTCAGTTCAATCCAAGGTGCTTTATTGGCATGACCGGTGAGTCCCATCAGTGTCGCCAAAGCAAAACAAATGCAATTAACATAAACAAAAATCGACAGACATTTGCAATAAAGACACAATCATAAGATATTTACATAAATAGTTACAAAATGTACAAAAATATATTCCATATATCTTACATATAATCTCTCTAAAGCAATGCAACGAAACTCTCTTACCTCCTTCAACACTATCCTACCGTCTGCTCTGTTGGTAATGTTTGCCTTCCTTGATGTATTGCTGTGCTTTTAAACAAACTTCTGCTACAGGATAATAAAGCTTGAACTGAATTGGTTTGACATTTTCAGTTATTGCTTTGTTGGGAAGTCGGTAACAGAGGAATAATTTAGGATTTTGACAATTCAAGCCAGAGGGGAAAGTGAAAGTGGCTGATATTTCCATGTGCTGCTTGCGACACTTTTGCCAGAAGAGTGGGGTTTTGACGTTGTGCTTCTCTGTTACTTATGTTCCCAGAGGCCTCTGCGACAGCTGGGCCCCGAGAGGCCCGGGGTCTTGCCTGAATTCCGAGCCCAGGCCCGAGGGAGTCAAGATGGAGGCGGAGTCGTCGGGGTCCCCTTCCCCGGCCCCGGACAGTCCCGCGCGGTCCAGCTGTCACCCCAATTCTCCGTCAGAGGCTAGCGGCTGTGGGAGCCAGACCCCCCACCCCCCCCTCGCAGTGAGTGTGGCCACCTGTCCGTTTCTCCACACCACCCTTTCCCATAGTCCGCTGGCAGGGGGTTGACACTTCGGGACCTGCTGCTTCCATAAGGGAAACAGATTCCAGAGGCACGGAGGCGTGGTGTTTGGATAGCTTTTTGCCATCAACCCTTTCCTAGGGAAAATATCTGATTTCACAATCATCAAAATCTCAAAAATAGCCCCTGTGGTATTGCACAGGCTCTTCTGTGAATATGTACAGTACAGCACAATGATCCCTCCGTTTAGTGAAGATGACCAGCACCACACTCGTAAAGAGTCGTTTACAGTTTACTGTGCGGCTCTACCTTCTTTAACTTAGCTTTTTTTTGTTATATTAAATGCATTAGTAGCATGCTGATATCGTGACATCAATGATAAGGAATGTTGTTCCTACTCTGACGGGTTTTGGAGGATATCAGTTTATAATTTTCTCCAATGGCCTTGATTGAGGTTCTAGTGCGCTAACCCCTGTGTCCTGTGGTCTGCTGTTAGGCCCAGTCGGACTCCAGGCCCAACCCAGACCCCAAGGCCTGCAACTGGAAGAAATACAAGTTCATTGTTCTCAACCCACTTTGTACAAGAACCGCCGTCAAAGAGGAGGAGCCCGAAGAGGAGGCGGGGGTGAAGGAGGGGGCGGAACCTTACAGCCACACCCCCACTAGCCCTGATAGGACGACGTCCTCTGACAGTCCCGCCCAGGAGGCGGGGAAAATGGAAGAGGGGGTGCAGCCGGACAGGTAGGGGAAAGACACGTGGAAATAACCAGAACGAGATGCCGTTTCAGCTCTTTCAGTTCATTATCTGATTCAGTAGCTCCTGAAGACAGTCAGGTCACCAGTTTCAACAGCTTGGCTGGGCAGCTTCTCCTATGCACCCAAAACCCTTAGTGTGAATAAAACACTGCCTCCTGTCCTCGCTGTTTATATGGACTTCCTTGTTTCGACTTGTGTCCACTGGTTAGTCAATCAGGCTTCACTGTCGGTCCTCAAGAGCTCCACTGGGTTGACATTGTCATTGACCTTTGAGAACTGCAATCTACCTGGTCGCTCTTCTGCGGACCAACTCCAGAAGAGCAGACACTTGATTTCCCCACTAGAGAGCGTGTTTGTCTCATCCTGGAGCGACAAGCTGTGATCCATAGGTAGCGGAGGGGATTGGCTCCCATCGAGCAAAGACCAGCTCTGCGCTGTGCTCCTGGCGTGGGAAAGTGGTTGCGCTGACGCGTGGGGGTGTTTGTGTGGCTGTTCCAGGCTGGCGGCGTGCCCCCGGTGCCAGGTGTGCCAGCAGAGTTTCCAGAGCCTCGCCCACCTGTGCCGCCACATGCTGGGCAGCCACCCTGGAGAGGATCTGCCGGTGCCCCCCCCGCTGCTGCCGGAGGGCACCCAAGGTAGGCGCCCGGGCCTGTCCGGTCCAGCACGGCAGTACCATCGGGTCTCTCGCCCGCAGGAGCGCATGGAATCGAGGATTTCCGGACGCTCTCTGTTCCCTCGGTGTTTGTGCTCCTTTCCCATGAGATCACCATGTTGATGCCACGTACCTGCTTAGCTAATTGGTAAAGATTAAAAGTCTTAATGAGGAATGTTAAGGAGATGTCCTCTGCCTTCATCATAATTGGCTTCTGAAATAACAGAAAAGAGGAGGAAATGGAATACTGGGGGAACGGCAAGTAGAGAACAGCCTCATTTAGGAGCTGATAAACAGATTGTACGTATTTTGGAAATTTTCTAATAATCTCCTTTAAGTAACATTTGTTATATACCTTAAGAGGTACATAGAGACTCGGATTCTTTGGGTGCCCAAGCAGGAATCGAGAAAGTCCAAATGCAAATAAGACCTGAAGACTGTGTTCTCTTTCAACAAAGTAGTGCTTGATTAATTTATAGTGTAACAAGATTTACAGACCCTGGTGCAAATGTATACTGCCATCGTTCTGATTACTGTCTTTCTGCCACGCCCAGTGGGAGGAGCCAACTCTTGCTCCCTGTGTCACCGGCCCTGCCCCCTGGAGCAGGCCACCCCGGGGCATCCCTTGCGTTACCACGGTGACGACAGGCAGGAGAACAAGTGTTGCTGCTCAGGATTCCGTTACCGAGGCAACCTGGGCGGGGCCAAATCCATCCACACAGGTAGGAATGCGCCGATTGCCGTCTTCTGTTGCAAAGTCAAGAGCCGTGAACTGACTGGGTACAGCAACGGTGTTTGGCGTTATGTGTTGCTTCATTCATGCACCCCACAGCAGTGTGTGGGTTTTATTAATCTCTTCCAGAAGCAGAAACAGCGACAAGGAATTATAGCATTGTTAAAAACATGTCTTCAGGCAGATAAATAATGATTTGTTAATTACTCATTTATTATCTGCTTAAAGAGCATCATTAATTGCATTAGTGTGCTTGAACTGTTTCCTTGCTTACTGGTTTAGTGTTCGTTAGGATACTCTCTGATATTCTGCAGAAAATCCACTAAGTGTTGCACCAGGGAACAAGTTTTGAAAGAGAACAGTAAGGAAGTGCGCTGGGGAAGCAATTTCCTGCTGCACTGGGGCTGCCACCCTATAGGCAGTGCATCGTGGGTAGATTCCCGGCGTTGTCTCAGAAGCTCCGTGGGTCAGACAACAAAGAGTGGAGAAACCGAGCAGGGTCACTCCAGTGTAACAGTGCTGACCGGTGCTGTGATTACGCCCCCCCGCAGGAGAGAAGCCGTATCGCTGCAGTGTGTGCGGGGCTCAGTTCAACCGGCCGGCCAACCTGAAGACCCACTCACGCATCCACTCCGGGGAGAAGCCCTACCGCTGCGACACCTGCGGTGCCCGCTTCGTGCAGGTAGGAGGCGCTGTGGCGTGAGAGTTCCTAGCCCGCTGTCAATGACAGTGACTCTTGGCATTACTGAGCCCTGCCCTTCCCTAGATCTTTACCAGCTGTTAACCGGTGCCTGCTCGCCACAACCCTCTTACCAGATCTGTCCTCAGAAATTAAACCAGTGGCTCACTCCCTCTCCATTCCGTCCTGGAAGGAGGGCTCTCTGCACTGCCAGGCGATGTGTTCGTACTCAGACCATTGGTCATCAGTGTGAGGGTGGTGGACTGGAATGGGCCGGGTGGGACCTGCTGCACCTGCCAGACGATTGATTGGCACAGTAGATGCCACCTAGCCCATCCGTGATCGTTCCTATCACAGTAGATACCACCCTCCCCCCCTCCCATGGCCTGCAACAGCTGGGCTTCACCAGTGCACGTGATCTGCCGAGCATTCCAGAAGAACCTTTTGTCACATACGAGCAGGAGAGAGATCCTGCTGGCAGATTGGAGAATTGCTGGTTGTGACAGGGCTCAGCAGGAGCGATCACGTTAAAGAAGGGGGCCTCCTGGAAACCTGTCTGTAGAGCTCTGACCCCTCGAGTGACTGTCATGACATCCTCGCAGGGGCAGAGCGGGGCTGCACCCGTCCCAGGAGCAGACACGGGCACACGCTGATTAAGGGGGGCTTTGTGAGTGCACGTGTGTACGTGTCTGTCTGTGTGTGTGTGCATGTGTTGTGCGCACAGGTGCACGTGTGGTATGCGTGTGCATATGTTGTGTGTATGTGTGTGTGCGCATGTGTACAGTATGTGTAGATGCTTGTGTAGATCTCATGCCAGGTGCGCTGTGTCGATCCAGGTGGCGCACCTGCGGGCCCACGTCCTCATCCACACTGGGGAGAAGCCGTACCCCTGTGAGACCTGCGGCACGCGCTTCCGACACCTGCAGACCCTGAAGAGCCACATCCGCATCCACACGGGAGAGAAGCCCTACACGGTGAGCCTGCCCTTCACCTTTGACCTTTGCCTGGCGAAGAACTCTGGTCCATGAGAGGTGGGCTACTCCATTCCCAACTGGGGGTGGGAGCGAGGGTGTTATTCCCCACACAGCCAATGCCAGGGTCTGTAAGCAGTCACTCAGATCATTTCCCCATCAATTACATTTTAGACATTTTCTGTGGGTGTCTCTTCATCTTCATCAACCATCCTAGAACATACTGTACATGTTTTCAAGTCCATGCAAACATGCAGACCACCTCTGAGGGACTGGGCAGCAGAGAGCTTAACTAGAGATGCCAGTAGGTGTCATATTGAAACATACACACCAACAGACTTCACTTTGTGCTCATGCTCTGATGACCCTGCATACTAATTACAGCCCCTGTGTGTGTGTGTGTGTGTGTGTGTGTGTGTGTGTGTGTTTTTCCTTTGCCTCGCAGTGTGAAAAATGCGACCTGCACTTCCGGCACAAGAGCCAGCTGCGTCTCCACCTGCGGCAGAAACACGGGGCTGTCACCAACACTAAGATCCGCTACAAGGTCCTCTCCGACCCCTACCGCACCATCCTGGAGACCTGCTGATCCCCAGCGCCGCGACCCTCTGACCCCTGAGCCCCCACGGACACACGGGCCCGACCTCCCGCTCCTTCCCCAACCTGGTTTGCACGGGTGATCATTGCCACACTTGGGCAGGGTCAGAGGTCAAGGTGTCCCAACCCGCGCAGGACTGTCCCCCAGTGTTCCCCCGCTCCTCGGTGAGGAGATGGACCCTTTGCTATATTGTTCAGTGTTAAAGGGGGGAAATGGGAAGAATGGTTTGGATTCCCGACAGGGACAGGAGCCAGAAGGGAGCTGTTCCAGAGTGGGAATGCAGCCCTATTCCGAGGGAAGGAGCTGGAATAAAACTGGATTGGGAAGGAACTATAGATGAGACCTGGCGTCACTGCACTGTTCAGATCAGAAGGTGAATATACAGTTAGTCTAGACACAGGTGGTGGAACACAGCTGTATATGGGATGAGGAATTTGAATGGAACCGTCGTAAAGGAAGAAAAGCTGGAGGAAGACTGTGTGAGAAGAACCTGGAAGAGAGCTATTGGTATAGCTGAAACCTGGAATAGTTTATTCCATGTGAAGGGAACCAGGACATCGGAGTGGGAGTGGGAAACTGTACAATCCATCATTCCCCGGCTGCTCGGCGACCGATCAGAAAACAGAATCTTCAGGTTGTGCTCAACGCCCCTGACAACGCAAGATGGAACCCGGAGTCACACCACGGCCGCCTGTGAGCAGGATTCCCCGGGCGACAGCTGGCAGGCAACAAGGCCTGGCTCTCGGCCCACTTCCTGGGTGGTGATGTCAGCGCAGGACGCGCGGCTCCACCAATCAGCACTCTCCCTCCGGTCAGGCGCTGGGGAGCCCGGCCCCAGGTGGGCGGGCCAGGGGGTAAGGACAGCCCCCGAGGGGGCGGGCCTGCAAACAGCAGGGGAATAGGGGTCAGAACAAACGCCTCTCTCTCTGCCGCAGAAGGGTTTTTGGGTCATGGGTTCATAGTACTGAGTGCTGGAGAGACAGACAGAAACCCAGGGGCTTCACTCAGGCTGGGAAGTCCAATAATTAATAATTGCACAATTTATCACAGTTCATTGCCCACAAAATCTGCACAGTGCCACCCGAGTGCTTTTTTTTTGTGAGTGACTGACTGCCATAAGTCTTGACCACTGATCTGATCTGTAAGGCAGGAAGGTCCCCCTGCCTGTAGAGATCCTTGAAGCGCTGAGTGAAGAGTCCCTGGGATCTGTGGCTGGAGTCTTCAGTGTGGGAGAAATTTTATACTGTCTAGACTGAATTTTGTTCTGGTGTAAGCTTACTGCTGTGTGTGTGTGTCATGGGGGTTCCTGAGGTCACGGGGTCAGATCAGGAATCGCAGTCTGTGCTTTCCTCTCATCTCTGTCCCCTGATGCTCCCTCCCCTGTGCTGATCTCTGCGGGTCTTTCTCCGCATCATGCTTTCGAGAAATTCCCAACCTCACAGGAGGGGCAACAAGGCCTTCTGGATCTTCTGAAGGGGAGATGCCAAGAGAGAGCGCAGGCCAGCAGGCCAGCGGAAAGGGGGACAAGCTGTTAGAAGCCTGGGGGGAGGGAGGCGGTTATCTCTGGGTGACATCACACTCCGCAGGCGGAGCCTAGATAAGAAGCCACGCCCCCGATATACTGCCTACTCTCTGCCCCCCAGGACACACACACACAGACTCCGAGATCAGTCGGCACCTGGCTCCACTATCCTGAGTTTCCGAGGTTTGAGGGGTGGTGGAATGCGCCCCAAAGCTACAATACTTCACATGTTACTGCAGGAGGGGGGTCCTAATTCTAGCTCTCAAGATCCACACAGGTCAGTTTTTTTTTTGTCACAGAAGTGTCTTTTTCACCCTAGTTCCTAGGTCCCCTTTTCAAATGATGATGATATTTGTTTACGTCTATGATGATATTTTAAAATCACTTTTCTTATAGTTTCTTCCCTAGACTCACAATTACTTATTTCCACCCCCCACCGTGCAAAAGGGACCCCAGATCACTGCAGAAGGAAACCCATATACCAGTGTTTAACTTCCTCAAACCCTGGGCCACCCCCCTTCTTACTCTTTCCAGCACCATTCCTGTCTGGAATCACCCCATGGAATCATTATTTATGTCACAATGGCTTCCATTTCTTTTTTTTGGCCTGTTTCAAAATTGCTCATGGCTGAAGACCGAGTGAGCCTGGCGACCTCTGACCTGCCCGGCATGCTGGGATGGATCGGCCATTGCTCTGGCAGCAAAAACTGGGGCCCTACAACCCTTTTGAGAAAAGCTGCTTGTCGCACAAACGGCCCCTTACCCAGAAACTGCCCGACCTGTTAACCTGTTAAATGAGACGACTCGTTTCTTGACGAAAGGCCATTCACAACAAACAGGGTATCATTCTAGTCTCCCCCTGGTTTCCTAACACTCTTAAAAGTAAGTGGTAAGGCACTTGGCTGGGAACCTCCTACTCCACTTGTAGTTTTACTGTTTTTTTTTTCACTTTTTATTTGAATTAATCTGTTATGGTTGTTTTTGTGAGCTCCCTTGCTATAAAGATCCATCCCACATCGATTCCCTTCCTTGCCCACCCCCCACTGCACTCAACCCCCCCATGACAGAACGAGTCAGTCTCTCCGATCAGCTCCAGCTGCTAAATTGCTCCAGCCATCGTCAGCGAGGCCAACGAACAAGGCCGCACTGCTGAAAGGGAGCCGCGACGCTCTGGTTATATTTCAGGGCTGGAAAGAATCAGCATTTCAATGAGTTTGTTTTGTTACTGAGAGTGAATAAGTGGTCTGGTCAGTTGGGACTGCAGTCCCCCCTTATTCGGGAAGGGCTGGAGGACTTGGCTCAGTGGCCAGCATGATCACTCCTGCAGGAAGAGACATGTCAACATTACCAGCACTGTGGAGCCAGGTGGCCACTGTAGGAGCCCTCTACGATATTGCTGTACATTGTGATGTAAATAGACATTCCTACCCCTTGTCTGCCTGTGGAACCGAGAGAAAATCACCGTGGAGGGAAAGGACCCACTCTGTTCAGACTGCTCTCCCTTCTCTTCTTCTTTTTCTCCAGCTTTCCGTGCTAATCCCAGAAAAAAAAACACAGCGGGAAGAACCTTTCTTGGGACAGTGTAACTGGGGCAAAACCGCCGGGCGGGGGTGGGAAACAGAAAACCCAAACCAATCATTGCTATTGTGCTGGGTCAGAACATGACGCAATTCTCAGAGAGGCGACTGAAGAAATTGTCGGCTCTGGCATCCTAGAGCGAGATTTTGATCGATTTAAAAGCTTGCGTAGAAAATGTGAGCCAGCATCGAGTGTTTCAGCTAAAGCTGAAAGAATGAAATGGGAAAAATGGAGTCACAAACATTCCTGTTGCATGAGCATAGTCAAACCAATCCAGGCTCCCAGTGAGAGGAGGCTCTTTGGCCTGTTTGTCTGGTCTCAGCATTCCATCAGGCTGTTTTCGAAAGAAGCCAGGGTATTGGCTGTCCGGCTTGTTCCCGACCCCCGCCGCCCTTTGTGTAAAGCTGCTCCCATTTTCCCGCAAACGTTTTAGCAAAACGTCTTTAATCCAAAAGGTCATATTAACTGTGGCGAAATTGGATCCGGGATCCCTTGAGCATGTCTACCCAGAAGACGTTGATGAACTCTTGTAGCTCAACCTGAAATCCCTCCAATCTGTGTTTAAAACACTTGGAGCGGGCTGCGCCACGGGCTTCTTTCTTTCAGTACCTTCAAGGCAGAAAGGGTTAGGAGTCCAACCTTTTTATACAAATATATAAATATTATTTTAAAGGTAACATGCTTTGAAAGCAATGCTGTTAGCTTCAGTATAAATGATTTAAAAATAATATATACTGTACATGGATGGGGGAAAAATATTTTGCTGGCCAAAGACAAGGTATCTTTGATATCTGTGAGAGTACAACTCGTAAAAAAAAAATTGTGTGTGAGACCTGCGATGATTTGCCATTGTCAGCAGTGTGGCTGTGCAGTGGCTTGTGGGTGCGTGTGGGATTTGTAACTGCGCGAATGTGTTCTTTTACCCCGCATTCCGGGGGACGAAACTCTCGGGAGTGTTTCGACCTCGTGACTCGATTTGCTTCGTTAGGAGAAGTTGACCTGCTCCGCTCCATCTCGAGATGCCTGGCTATCCCCCAGTTCTGTGTGCTATTAGGAGCTGGTTCTGTGTTTCATTCTGAGAACTGATCTAATGGGGCTCATTCAGCACTACGCCTCTTACAAGAGATGACATCACCCTCTTGAAAGCTGAGTGGCGTCACACCCTCGCGCTGTTGGCGTAGCTCGATTCCCTGTTGTCTGGGTGGGGCACCATGTGGCCAGGATGCCCTTGATTCGCGTGATTGAAATTCAGGAAATGGTTTCTCAATGGGAATTCTTTGCAACTCAGATTATACAGATTCCCAGCCTACTGACAATTTTATGCTAAAATGTCAATCATTTTGCTTAATGTGAGTTCAGCCCACATTTTGCATTGGTTTGCTGTGCTTTCCTATGGTATTATCATCCTGTGAAGAGGCGGTGTGATTTTTCTTTTAACCAGTTTGTTATTTTTAGTACGTTTAAGAAAGGCTATTTTTTCTATTTTCTTAGCTTTCAAAGGAGTCTTTTGCTTTTGACTCTTTACTCCTTAATTACTTCCTGGTTACCTGTGTCCTGTGTGATTCTCCTGTGTTTTTCTTCAGTTATGTTTGTCTTTGTCAACAGACTTCAGAAAATGAAGGTAGTGGGCTGGGGAGGCAAATCTGTGTTACACCGTGCAACCTTGACATTCTTCCCCACGCCACTTCCTTTGGTCATGGTGCAAGACCGCTCTGTCTGCAGGTGTTTTTCACCTCTCGGGCACACACCATGAAGACAGACAACGGAGAACAAGGAAACTGAGTCAGGCAACCCTTAAAAAGTTTACTGTGGTAGATCATGGTAAAAGCAAAGTGAAGCCTATCAAAGTGTGGTACAATCCTGGTAAAAGCATGGAAAGCACTGAGCAGTGTGGTTACATATGGACTGCCGGTAAATCAAACAGGTTAAACAGGCAAATTCACTGTGGTAAACTTTCATTAAGGAAGTTAAGTGAAAAGAGGAAATTGTAAAAAAAAAAAAATAACATTCTGCTTCTGCGAGACGTAGCTACATAATATCTGGGCTGTTTGACATACTGTCCCATTTCATGACCTGCACTGAAGTATAGGAGTCAAAAGCCCTGTCCTGGTGCACCTGGCCATGTGGTTTACTGTATGTCTTCTTTCATAAGTGCTGCTTTTTTCACTTTGTGTTTTTTGGTTACTGAAAGTTACGCAAAGCTGGCTTTGTTGCCTGTTCTCTGTTCTCATGCACTCGTTCAATAAAGCTGTGCTGTCTTCCGCTGGTGTTTCCCAACGTGCGCTGATTTCCTGCTCCTGGCAGAGCTGTGCTGAAGGGAGGAAGAGGTTCTGTGTCCTCTGTGCAGATTGATTCCCACTGGGGGGGAATAACCACTTTCTTCTGGTTGAAGTATTGGGGTCCCCCTACCCCCCCATACAGAACAAACGGAACAACGTGCTTTTGTCGCTTTGAGAAAGTTTTAAAGTATACACATTTTGCAGCCCAGTCCTGATCCATTCTTCCGAGGGGATCAACTTCCGCTGGGAACAGATAAAGGGAGGTGCACTGCATGATTCCACCCGCCGTCCCCGTTTTCAGGGGGATAGAGATCCAGCAGGTTGTTCTGTCTGGGGAAGGAATTCTGGCCTCTGGTCCTCAAATCCAGCCTCTTCATTGACCCAGCACACCCGTCCCATGAGCCTATTCTGGCTGGGGGGGTCCTAATATATTGGCCCATGAGCTTAGGTTTGCGGTCTACAGTTTAACAGTGGGAGAGGGGGGAGTTTTCCCCAGGTGAGTCTTTCTCCTGGGGACCCACACTGCGGGAGTGTGGGTTCCTAATCTATTGGCCAGGGCGTACGCCAGCAGCCTCCCGCGCAGGAATGAGCAGATTAGTCCACCATTGCGACACGGTTCTCTCAGGTAGCGTCACGTTCTCCTGGGAGCTCTTCAGACCAGAGGCGAAGAAGGTGTGAGAGATCCCTTCAGGATCAGCAGTGCGCACCAGACTCGACACAAAGCCGAAGTGTACAATAACACCCCAGGATGGGAAGGTGATCACGCAAGCTTGGGCCCGTTGTAGGAGCTGAGTAACAGTTGAGTCACCAGCGGCACAGTGGTGCACTGGTTAGGGCACTGGGTTCACTTCCAGACCTGGGGTTAATAATAATCACTTACACTTATATAGTACTTTATTGGACACTCCTCTCAAAGCTATTTACAGGTAACGGGGACTCTCCTCCACCACCACCAATGTGCAGCATCCACACAGGGGTTCTGTCTGGGTGGAGTTTGCATGTTCTCCCCTAGTTTGCGTGGATTTCCTCTGGCGGCTCCGGGTTTCCCAGTTTCCTCCTACAGTCCAAAGACATGCTGGGAGGTTAATGGGCTCCTGGAAAAATTGGCCCTGGTGTGAGTGTGTGTCTCTCGCATTGCCCTGCGCTGGACTGGTGTCTTGGCCAGGGTGTGTCCTGCCTTGTGCCCGCTGCTTGCTGGGATAGGCTCCGGCTCCCCTGCGGTCCTGAACTGGAAAAGCAAAGTTTGAAAATGGAGGGCTGAGTCATCGCAGTTTCCCAGCCCCCCCCGTCCATTCTGCACAAGCCAGCGATGACGGTGGCTCTCGCCCAGTGCCATCCAGAGAGGAGCAAAAGGATGTGTTTTTTTTTTTCTTGGACATGCGATTGTGAGAAGGTTTCTTTTAAAGAAACCCTCCGCCGTAGTCGGCCCCTGGCCGCCCGCCCCCGCCTGCCTTCCTTCCTGTCTCATTAATGCGCCAGCCTGCTGCCGTGACTCAGCCAAAGGGTGTGCAATGGGTACTTTTTTTTTTTAAAAAGGAGGAACAATTGAGCGCCAGGCACCTGTTTCCGGTACAGCTTTGACCTGGAGCGCACACCACAGTTCCCGCGTGTTGGCCTGTGGGGCAGGGGCTGGCCAGCTGGCCCTGTTTAACTTAACTCTGTGTTTTCCTGAGTTTCACTTTCATCAGCAACACGGACCGCAGAGTGGACTAGATCAGACAGAAAGAGCTGCGTGTCTCGCAAGGAAAAGGTTTAATAGTGCATTTTAAGTTTTAAGAGCAAGCAGTTGCTATGGATTGCGTTATGGGACTGTAAATGTCAGGCTGAGGGGCGAAACAGTTATGCAGGTTAATATGTAACGTCAATCAATTCATCTTTTAGTTTGCTTAAGTGTCCTTTGCCACATACTGCCACAGAGCCCCTTCCACAATTATAAAACGGCTGACAATGTTGAACAGCAACGGAAGACCAGGTGGCCACGAAGGAGAGGAAAACACTCTGGGGTCCCGGGTTCGATGGTTGCACCAGTGGGCACTGCCAATTGGTTTGTGGTGCAGCCATCCCCTGTGGCGTGAGCCGTCTCTGCGCTCCTGGGTCTGTCGTCGGGGTCATCCGAGTGAAGTAGTGGATCCCTGCTGGATCTGCCATTCCCTGGGTCCAGCATTCCAGGTCCGGATTTTTTAAAAATCAAAATATACTTTATTTCCATAGCAACACCTCACAAAAGAAATATTTTCACGAATTTGGTAAACATTCTGACTAGGTATGCACTTCACATGCAATAAAAACTTTCCAAACGGGGGCGATTGTCCATTATCAATCCGTGCAAGTGGATGATGGGGCCGGATTTGCTCAATTAAAGGGTCCCTCCAGGCCCTACCACTTGCTTTTGTCCACGAGTCCCTGTACAGGGGCCACAGTCCCCTCCAGCGCTCCCTCGCCGTGGAGAAGCCCCATTTGGCCACGTCGCAGTTCGTCCACCCTCTGAGGTCCGCCAGGATCCTCTCCTCCAGCTCCGTCGCTCCCCACTATCCTGTGTGCCGGATGAGAGTGGTCCTTGCGTTCCACAGTCCTTCCAGGTCCGGACGCCACAGGATTGCTTGGCATCAGATCGCAGGGCCGTGACCCACGATCCAAGCGGTTGGGAAGATGGAAAGATGGGACAGGGTTGATCGCCAATTCAGTTACAGGACACCAGTGGGAGGAGACCCCACAAACAAAGGACAACAGTTTTATCATACAGAGCTGGGTGGTGGGGAGCGGGGGGGTCGGTCCTGTTCAGGAATGGGGTGCAGTGATGATGGGGGTGAACCCCAGTTCTTCACCCCACCACCACCTCCGATCCCTCTCATCACTCTCCTCTGGCACGAGCGGTCAACTTACGGAATCTTGGAAAATCCCCATGAAATCCAAACTGGGAGGAACAAAATAAATGGCAGTTCCTGGAGCTCCTTCCTGGATATTGTGTGTGTCCAGGAGTGACGCACAATCCTGCTGGCTGTTCCAGAGTTGTGTGGGAACACTGACTTTTCCTGCAACGCCTCTGGGCTGTGGGAAGATTGACTAACTGTGGAAGGGCAAACAATGGACACCCTGTTCCTTTGGACAATAATTCCACAATAACAGGACTAATGGAGAGGGGGCCAGTTTCATGTGGAGAAGTGCTGATCAGCTCACATCTATATTCAGGTGAGAGCCTGGCCAGTACCTGGATGGGAGACCTCCTGGGAAAGCTAAAGTTGCCACTGGAAGAGGTGTTAATGGGACCAGTAGGGGGCACTCACCCTGCAGTCTGTGTGGGTCCTAATGCCCCAGTATAGTGACGGGGACACTATACTGTAACAAAGAGGCTCTCCTTTGGATGAGCTGTAAAACCGAGGTCCTGACTCTCTGTGGTCATTTAAAATCCCAGGGTGTTTCTTGAAAAGAGTTGGGGTGTTACCCGGGTGTCCTGGCCAAATTTCCCCCTGGTCTTTACCAGTCATGGCCTCCTAATAATCCCCCTCTCTGAACTGGCTTCATCACTCTGCTCTCCTCCCCACTGAGAGCTGGTGTGTGGGGAGAGTACTGGTGTATCATCCAGGTGGGGCTGCACACTGGTGGTGGTGGAGGGGAGCCCCCATTACCTGTACAGTGCTTTGAGTGGAGTGTCCAGAAAAGCGCTATATTAGTGTAAGAGTTGTTTATTATTATTAGCATGAGGTTAACTAAGTAACCAAGGGACGCTGAAGGTATCCTGTGAGCCATGAGCTGTACGAGTTAGCACATAGATTTGACCAACAGCTCAAAAGACAGTTCTGTGCTCCTTTTCTTTGTTTTCAAATTTCCAGTTCAGTTCGGGAATTTGCATGTTTGAAAAAAAGGCGCTCGAGAGTTCTTTCTCCGGACCTCTCGGTATCAACCTCGCTCGCTCACAACATCAGTTTATTGTCATTACCGTGTTCCTTGGGGGTGTGTCTGGGATGGTGCCTGCTTCCCTTGAGGGCACCCTATACACAATGGGCAGGAAACAAGGACGGGGAGGGAGGGGGCGTTAAAAATTCATTTGAAAAAAAAAAAGGCAAGAGGAAGCTCCCATTGGCCAGTGGCCCGATGACCTCACACCTGCTTCCTAGGCGGACAACCGAGGTGGAGGTGCAAGTGCATGCTGGGAAGAGGATGTCACGAGGCCCATTGGACCCATCCAGCACAGCCCACCCTGTGCGGGGAGCGCATCCTCTCAGAGCCGTGGAGTCACTGTCGGCTGACGCCTTCGTGTCCTCACTGAAGAGGGGGGAAGTTTTACATCGGTGTTCCGCATCAGAGCATCACCGAGGCCCACGTGAAGAGCTCTGAGGGTGTTGATGAGCTACGAGGGAGAACGAAATGTGACTGACAAACAAAGTACAAACGGGCGGCGCGGTGGCACAGTGTCTGAGCACTGAGGCCCTGGGCTTGACACCAGGGGTGCTGTCTGTGGGGAGTTTGCATGTTCTCCCCATGTTTGCGTGGGTTTCCTCCTCCTTTTGCTCCAGGTTTCTCCCACAAGTCCAAAGATATACTGGATTATCGGAGAACCGGCCCTGGTGCGAGTGTGTGTGTCCTGTGATGGGCTGGCGTCCCGCCCAGGGTGTGCCCGGATTTGTGCCCCTTTGCTTGCTGGGATGGGCTCCAGCTCCCCCACCACCCTGAACTGGAAAAAAAACTGTTTTAAAACACGGACTGGTGGACAAACTACAAAAGAGAAGAGCTCTGATGGGCTCACAGGTCGGACTGGATTGCTCCTAGCTCATGCACCTGATAATCTCGTTCAGCTCTTTCTTCGGGGGTTCCCTGGTAACACAGCTGTCCCTACAGTCATTAATACTGAGCTGGCTTTACACAGAGTGTGGTGGGGGTGTGGAACAAAGTGCCTCCCCAGCGGTGAGGCCAGCAGGAGCAAGACCAACAGCCTCCTCTCTCATGCAATAAGACAAGGAGGACACCACCCCTGGTCCCTGTGAGCCACCGTCCAGCAGGGCCTGCAGGCTGTGGAGACTTCGCACGCACCAGGGGGGAACAGCTGAACGAGTCACTCAGTCACGCCATTAACAGCCAGTTGAGACCCCTAAGTGCAACAGGGGATGGGGACTTCTGCGTCAAACGATCTCTGAACGGACTTTATCGACTGGGCAAATTACATGCCTGAGCGACCCAGACGGATCCGTTCCCGAGGGGTCGGGAGCTGGTGAGCTGAGGGCGGACTATGCTGGAGATATGCTGGAGGCTGGGCTGCCAGGACGTGTGTTTCCATCGCCATCTAGCGGCCCGGGCGCGAACTTACAGCTCTCGGACAACAGCTGTAAGCGGCCAGCCTGGTCAATATTCACAGCCTCTTTGTCCGTCACTGGGTCAGTCAGTGAAATCCAGTCCCGCTGCGGAGGTATAAGCCGAGCGCAGACGAACTCATTGTTGTTCCAGTGCGTTCTGTTGAAATGATGGATTCACTGGTGCGAAGACGATCTACAGTATTTTAGTATTTCAATCGTTTAATTACATACATTAGAAGCAGGGACATATAAATACTAAGACTTTTGCTGTGCTTTTATACATAAACTCTCCAACGACACTTCAGAAGGAAGTGAATATATAATATTAGAGTACGAAGTGACACGGTTACTAAAAAAAAACTGTTCACTTAACTAATTCGTTGTACCTTTTTATACCATTTGCTGTTTATGGGTTTGGGAATTTTTTGGTGCATTCGTATGATATGAAAGTACTTCCGACAAACCCCATCACCCGAATGTTTTACATCACTTCACCAAGAGGCCGATGAGTTAAAACGCATCATTACTGCCGGTGTCTTCTGGCTTCCGCGAGAGCGGCTCGCAGGTTCCCCACTCGTGAGCGCGCGGCGGCCGGGGTTCACACGGGCATCAGGCGCCGGTTGGGGCTCGCGAGGCCCGTTCAGGGGGTTGAAAGCTGTCGTGAACGCCGTGAAAGTGCCCCCCTGTTCTTTTTTTTAAATTGTATTTTACAAAGAGACCTACCGCTGCCAAAGGCCCTAGCCGCCCTCTAAAAGAAACAAAAACAACAAACCCAAACAAACTGTGACGAGCTTCAGAACAATATCACGAGCGAACGCGTGGACCGGGTCACGTGACCCCCTTCCTCTTTCATTTTGCAAACCTTGTGTGTGAAAGAGCAGCGGCGGCTCGCCTGTCGCGGCTGGCTGCGGCCGCCGACCCCGCTGGTGCAGGCGTGCAGACAGGTAAGGGGGAGACGGGGGTGACCGTGCGGTGAGCGTCTGACGCGTCTGGAACAGTAATGGCGAGCGACCGTGGTTCGTGCGTGTGAGTGCCACGGGCAGCTGGAGTGGCATTCAGGCAGCCCTGCTTGCGAACGTGTGCAGTCGGGCGGTATTTTTATTATAAAGAAGGTGGAAGGTTTGGCTTGTTGGGTGGCTAGCCCCGGGCACAGGGCGCCTAGGCTTGAAGACTGGGGAAAGCGGGGTTAGCAAATGACCTGCAACATTTGATTGAACAACCAGAACGGGCCCGGACACCTGAAATATCGAGCGAGGGTAGTTCTGGTTGCGACAGCGACGCGCTCGGCTCAGCCGGAGCGAACGGGACCATCTTCCTCCCGCTGCCTAGCAACGCCGGAACGCGCCGCTCGCGCGCGTCCGCCAGCAGAGCCGCGTAACACATTATTGTATCCTTTGGTTTTTTTTAAAAAAAGGAAATGTGCGTCGTTTTATTGCGTCGCATCCTTTTTTTAAAAGAAACTTTTAAATCTCTACAAACAAGAACCCCTTTTCGAACCCCTGTGCCCGTTTTCTCTTCAAACGTATGGGATTTTCTTCTACTTAGGCAACGCGATTGTCCAAAGGTGAGCTCCCAGCACGTGTCAGAGCTGGCAGCAGTCCCGCAGCTGGTGTTAAAGAATGCTTTTATTAAGAACAATTGTGGGATTAAGTGGGACGTGGGCTGGAACCAAACCCGGGAGGCGTGTGTGTGTGTGTGCGCGCCTCCAGGACCAGGACTGGGAAACCACAGTGGGCTCATAAGGGCTCGGACCCGTGCCTCCCCGGGCACACAGCCCACCCTGCGCTGGGGTGGCCTCCTTCCCTGACCCAGTCACCTGGGGGGAGAAACCTTCACCTTTTTTGGGGGACAATTTCCTTAAAGGGCTCTGGACCAGGTCTGGGAACCAGCGGTTAAATGGGTCACTCACTCCATCACAAGGTAGCAGGACAGGTTCTGCTAGTCCAGATAATAAAGACTCTGCAGCACAAGGCACTGTGCTGAAACGCTCAATCGTCAATTGGTCCCTATTGTCTTTCCCTCAGATATATTTTGATTGTATTTAAAAAATGGTTTGGATGTCTGTGCTCCTCTCGATTGCGAGGGGTCTGTACGGTTGCAGAAACGGGGAAACAGCGGGATGGTTTGCGCTTGTTGTCAGGGGGCGTGCCTTACAAGCTCTGGACGGTCAGCCTATCACAGCACGAGTGACCTGCCAAAAACACACTGCGGGGCGGGGCCGCGAGTTCAGCTGCGCCACCCGGTTGGTCGGTTCTGCGGCGGGGGGAGGGGCTCCGGGTGAGGTGCTGGCAGGGAGCAGAGTTCGACAGAGCCGCTGTCACACCGGGACAGTTTCCTGCCGGCTCCAGCACGCCTGCTGCCGGAGCGCGGAGACCGAGGAGGCAGGTGGGCGGGCAAAACGCCCGACAGGTCTGTAACTTGTTCCCGCTGAAAGGTACATCCTGCTCGCTTTCACCCGAGATTACGTGAGGCTCTTTTTTTTTTATATATATATAAAGATTCCGGTTGTGGCGCAGCACGGAGCAATACGATGATCCGTTTTACTTTCCGTGCTCCGGGGAAGCGGTACGCTCGCACAGAGGCGCGTACAAAGAAACAACAACGAAATAAGCGCTACTGCTGTACGTGCTGGAAGAAGAGGGAGGCTCTGGGACCGGCAGGAAAAGCGGTACATGTCAACCTTGTTCAGCCATGGAGAGGACAGGTGGGAACAGCGGAAGACGTGGGCGCAGTTACACTCTCTCTCACTGCGTTAGATAAGATCTCTTTATTGGCCATATGCGATTTCATTAGGAGTTTGTCTTGTCGCAGACCCCAGCTTGCTCTCCATGAGACACACAGACAGGGAGAGAGAAGCTTGGGGTCAGAGCGCAGGGTCAGCCATTGTATGGCGCCCCTGGAGCAGCTGGGGTTAAGGGTCTTGCTCAGGGGCCCAACGGAGTAGGATTCCTCTGCCGGCTGCGGGATCTGAGCCACAGAGCCACTGCTCCGCCCGGAGTTAGTGCGTCTCACTCGCTCACTGAGCCTAGGCGATCCACTGTTGCCCAAAGTGGCGCGAACGGTTTCTCGTTTTAAACAGCGCTCGTTGGCCCCGGACACTTAGAAGCCACCGAGAGGTGGGCGCTGGGCCGGCCCGGCTGGTGGCAGCCACAGGGAGCGAGCGCTGGCTGTGGACCCGCAGCGCCAGGCGGCGCCGAGCTCTAACCCTAAAGGGGATGGACTTTGACCCCGCGGTGTCGCGGCAGTGAAGGAAGAGGGGGGCGGGGGAGGTGAGCCGGTCTGAGAGCGGCGCCTGCGGACTCCCCCAGAGATGGAGGGCCTGTGCCACTTGCATGCTGGGATACTGGGATAGGCTCTGGCTTCCCCACAGCTCTGAGGTGGATGAAGCAGTTGGAATATCATTATTATTTCAGGTAGGTAGCTCTGTCAGCACGGTACCTACACCTGAAGGAGGCTCCACAGCTCATCTTTTCTTTTCAGCGTGGAATAAACCTTTACTTGTTCCTTTGCATGATAATAATCACGTTTAGCGCGCCAGGCAGGCAGGGTCGTGGATGGGCAGAAGATGAAGATCTCCTTCTGTGTAGGTTGGCGGCGGCTGCCTCAGGCGCTGGACACTGTAAACACGAGCAGCGATGACGGCGCGGTGGAGTTTGGCCCTGGGACGTGCGCAACACTCGCTCGTGTGGCTGCGGCCAGCTCCTCACAGGAGGATGACGAAACCGCGGTTCACGGGCTCGGGTCACGGGACAAGGTGCACGGTTGGTCTTGGCGCTGCCAAAAGCGACCGTGTTCTGCACTCTAGGGCAAAGAGCATCGGATCCCCGCCTCATCCTCAAGTCCGAGCTGGACAGAACGGCTCCCTAATAGCAGCTGGGCTCCTCCGTCCCCCACATCCAGCTCTGGGCTGGCCGACCAGGACCGACGAGGGTCCGAAACGTCGGATAGGACAGCAAGGAAGGCTTTGACCTTCCGAGGCCTGGCGGAGCTCAGCGGAGTGTGGAGGGGCGCGGGGGTGGCGGCGGAGTCCTTGACCTTCAATCTGAGAGCTGCGTCGCCATCGCGGGCTCCAGTGGACGACTCCCAGCCGGCATGATGCGCCCCCTCTCGCGGCCAGCGCCCGTGACAGCCGAGGGCGCGGGGTACACTCCGATGCTCGCCACCAGAGCCTGTACCCTTCGAGCAAGTCTGGGAGAACCGCGTTGAGAGAAAAAGACACAAACCAGCGCTGCGCGGGAGAGGGACCTTGCGGGGCCGGTACCGTAAAGAACTGGACCCACGTCTGTGGAGACCAAGGAGACCATGGCGTGGAGGGACTGAAAGTGTGATAGCAGCAGAACAAGACCAGGCACTGAACACCAGATGCCATCAAAAAAAACATCTGAAAGCGCACAGCCAACAGCAGGAGTAGAAAGTGCAGCAAAGCCAAAGAAAATATTCGTCAGGTAGCGGTGAGCTGCACAGCGCTGGCACCTCCAGAGGGCGTGACTAGACATAGTAGGCAGCTTATCTGCACTAGTCTGTTGTGTTCAACCTAGGCAGACGCACAGTCACAATGACTTTGCCGAAACCGAAAGCGTGAAGGATTGAATTGCTCGTTAATGTGAGCTGGGCAGTACAAACGGAGCTTTGGAAACACTGTGTTCCAGAGGTTTCCCTCGTTCCTTCTCTTTTTTTTTTTTTGTCGTTGCCTCATTGTTTCTCTGCTGTTTTGACGGTTTGGCAGTTACATGGCTGCCCCAGGGAAAACACAGGGTGAAACCTCCACTGCTGGTCTTCCCACGTGCAGTCTTGTGACACTTCTTGTGTAAGGAGTGAGAAGCACTGCTGACGGCGGAGATGTCACTTCCCCTCTGGCCTGGAGTATGAAAAGTTTCCGAAGGAGAAGAAGCGGCTTGGACAGCCGTGTTTGTCTGGGTGGCAGCAGCTTGTCGATCTGTGCGCCGATTGCTGTCCGACTCCAGCCGCGGAGCTCCGTGGTCACTCGGAGCCCGGGAGCAGCCAGGACAGACAGTCGAGGTTTGAGTCTCAAGTCCGTGTGCGGATTGTGCTGGTGTAATTGGTCACGTGCCGGATGGGGCCTGACCCAGCCTGCCTGAGGGAACCAGCATCGATCTGCCTCTTTATTTGTCAAGGTTAAAACCTACTGTACATTGCTCATTTGCCACATGTTGTCCTAAGATCTTGCTTATGTAAGGAGTAAGAAATACTGCTGACGCAGAGATGTCACCTCTGCTCTGGCCCGCACAGTCTTTTCAGAAGTGTCGATTTGGACAGTCATTGATTGGCAGCTTATTGATGTCAGGATCTCATCTAGCTGTTTTTCAGAGGAAATGACATGGGCCATGTGGCTGAGCAGACACCCTCCCAACTCCCCTCCTCCCTCCATTGCTCTTCTGTCGGGAAGTGTGATGAGTGCGAGTGCAGCCCAGTCCCGCTCCCGAGACAGCGGTTTTGAACCCGGTCGCTCGCAGGTTCTCAGTGCAGCACAGCGCCGCTCCACCTCACTAGACGGCAGATCCGAACCCGGTTGTTCCTGTGCTCTGAGCACGCACAGCGCCGCTCCAGCTCCCCTAGACAGCGGATTCGAACCCAGTCGCTCACAGGCTCTGAGCACGCACAGTGTCGTTTCCTAGACCATGGGTAACTCGGTCAAACCCCAGGACCTTTTTTAAGCTTGTCTTGCTAGTTGCTAATTAACAGTGGGAGGGAAGGTGATGACCCACAGTGGGGATGACCTGCCCCAGGCTGTGTTCGGCACAGTTGTGCACTGCCCTTCCAGTCGTCCCAGCTGACGTTGGCCTGGCTGTAACCAGAGACAGCTGCACTGTAGGCGAGTGGGTGTCTTTGCTCTCTGAGTCACCCTGAAGCCCGTTATAATAACGCCTTTCTGTCTGGAAGGTACTGTAGCAGGCGGTCACCATTGGCTGAAGGTGCCGAAAGTTTTAGGTCGTGAACCGAGAAGATTATGAGGGGACCTGATACAAGTAATTCAAAATCTTCAAAGATGCTGGTACACTCAACCCAGTCTGATTTCTTCAGAAAGAGCAGTGATACACGCACCGGAGGGCAGGAGCGGAAACTACGTGGAAGTATATTTTTAAAACCGAGAACAGGAGGCACTTCTTTACGCTAAGGGTGGTGGGAGTCTGGAACAAGCTACCTGGCCGTGATGCTGAAGCCGATCCCCTGGTTTCTTTCAAGAAACAGCTGCATGAGATCCTGGGGTCGATTAACTAATCGCTACCAAACGAGCTGGATGTGCCCATTGGCCTCCTCTCGTTTCTCGCCTCTCCTCTGTTCTGATGAAATCTGGTGCCCTTGGCCGTGTTGTGCCTGATGATGTTGCATACTGTCGGGGGCAACTCGCCAGTCCCACCGATCAAACTGAAGCTCCCTGCTCCCGTGGGTTGAGCTGTAAAGGACACTGCAGCACCACCGACCGAGGACAGACAGCGGCTGCAGTTGCGTTGCTGTGCGAGTCCCGTCTTGTCAACTTTTTTTCTGTTTTCTGTGCTTTGTGCAACCAAGCATCGCTGTTAGTGAAGGAATTAGGTTACAGGTACAGGGCGGGTGGTACAACACTCAGGGGAAGCAGATAACAAGGCTGTAAGAAACCAATCAGGACAAAACCCGCTTTCCAGTCACAGCGGAGTGTCAGCTGTGCTTGATGTGCCCAGATGGCGCCAAGTGCCCATAGATTGTAAAGCATCAGAACAAAGATCCTTCTTTGAGCCAGGGAATTCTTGGCCTGTGTTAGGGTTCCCTGATGTAAACTCATAATTAAACGGAAATATCATGCATTTTATCAGTAAACAAAGATTCTGCCCAAAGCATTATGCAGCATCATTGGTCTTTTCTGTGAGACTTCTGTAGGACGCCGGTGGTACTGTACCCACGAAGAAACGGCACACTAGACTGACCCGAACGCAAGGGAGGACTTCCAGGAATTGGAGCTTAAAGCTGTAATCCGAGTCTCCGAAATGCTTCCCGTCTCCAGCAGGTTCCCTCCCAGCCTCTCGGCCTCGGCGTCAGCTCCCCCAGAGGGCTTGGCTCGGAGTGGAAGAAGAAAAACAAGCCCTCGCTTCTGGCAGCTCTCAAGCTTGGGGACGTGTTTGTGAACAGGTTTCTGGTAATTCCGACGAGGGAGAGGTGAGCTGGTGTAGGAGAGTGTGGCTCCTTCCTGGGGGAGGGGGCCCTTGGCACGAGCCAGTCTCTTTCCTGTGCTGGGCCCGGCAGATCTGGAACAGGCCGCACGAGCACTGTATATCCGGCAGGGAAGAAGAGCGGAGGAATGCTCTCTGTCTTCACCTGCCTGCCGGCTGGTGAGGCACATCCAAGCGCAAATTGCCATACAGATGTTTATTTCTTCCCAGATTCGGATATCGTCACTTCCAATTTGCTATTTACTGGGCCAGGAAGCCTCTGGAGTATGTTCCAGCTTTCCGTCACCCTTTGTGTACAGAAATGCAAAGGCTTAAATGCCCTCATCCTCGGATTCATGTTTTGCTGTGGAAACCAGCCCACAGGCCTCCTGGACGTGCGTCAGACCCTCCGGCCGGCCTTCGCCAAGCGGCTGTTAGGATACCTGGAGTTCACAGGGCGGAAGATGGGAAAACGAGGGAAGTGGGGACAACCCTCGCCCCCAGCCACCTCCCCTGGGCGCTTGGACGAGGGCGGCAGTGAAGTCGAATTGATGCCGGGTGTAAAAGGACAAACCGTTATCAGGCGATTCATATCCTTGCTAAGCTGCAATGGCTGTGGGGAGTAAAGAACCGTTTGAGAACGAAAGCCAGAGAGGGAGTGGGATTCAGAGCCCATGCTTTATTTATTTAATCCACTGGCACAAAACATCTGATTCTTTAGCCCAGAGTTAGCTCTGGTATTACACGGCAGGTCATGCGAATGGATGCGCTGGTCTGCTGTGGTACCAGCAGGTGGCACTCTTCCCACAAGAGCAGGAAGGCCAGGCCAGCACTCGAGTGGAGGAACTGGGAACACTGTAAGAGGAGCCCATCTGCAAGAGGAGATGATGCACTGAGGTCCTGACTTCCTGTAGGCAATGAAGGGCCCATAGGCTTGTGTGAACAGAGTAGAGGTTCCAGTCTGGGTCTTTCTCAGTCTGCCTATGTCAGACGTGTCTTGTCCAGTTCAATTAAAGTACTTTTTCCACCTAGTCTGCTGGGTGAAGGAGTAGATGAGCCCCCACCCAGCTCTACAGTATTCCTGGGATTCTGATGAAAGAAAAGGAACATGTAAATGCAAATGATCATCTTTATGTTTAACAGTTTGCACTGAACTGGGTTAAAGCTAGATTTGGATGAAATGTGCAACTTTGGTTTCATAAAAAGGTTTTCATAAAATTAGATGCAAGCGTCACTCACTTGACAGTTGCACAGTCTATTCATTGTTCCTGTCACGGATGTCGGAAGGGACGAACCGTGGAATGGCAGAAGAGTGGAGAAAGATCCTATACGAAGAGGTGGAACGGGGAGTTAGCCCGGGCTCAGTAAAGCAGGAGTTCAGAAATTGCCATATAGAAACCTACGCCATCAGGCCACGGCCGGAGCGGCGACCTGGTGCCTCCCGGGTCTCAGGGCATCCGAACGTCAAGGACAGAAGGACAGCAAAGCAGAGGAAACTAGGGACAGGACAGAGTAGCAGTACCCCCCCATCCCAATGTGCGGCTCCTGACGCCCATACAAATAAATGTGCTGCACAGCACTGGGGGGAGGAAAAACCTCATTTAACTGAAAGGAAACCTCCAGGAGTCCACGGCTGAGAGCTGCGCCCTCCTCCAGGGTAAAAACCTTTATTGGGTAGAGGAAGGGGGGGGTGAAATAGAGCTCCGGAGGCTTAAAACAAAAATAGACATACACCAGCACAAACCACAAAAATAAACCTGGAGACCAGGGTGACAAACTACAAAAAACAGATAGGAACCAAAAGTTCCACGAAACAGAGGTTAGGGGGACCAGAGAGAAGGGGAAACCAGGAAGTGAAAAATCAAAACACCAAGCAAAAACAAAAATACAAAAACCCGGGAAAAACACCGCAGACCGGGCAAAACACGTTCAACATCCTATCACTGATATCGGAATAGACAACCCGAGGAGAGCCAGGCACTAGACCAGCTCTCAGGCACCGATGTCCAGAGTGATATCCAGCAATAAGGATAGGAGAGCCAGCTCAACATTCAATCACGGAGACAACCCGAGGAAAGCCAGGATTCGAAAGCGGATGTCGGGACGGCATACCACTGAATGACCCGCTCACAGGCACGGAAGTCAGGAACAGCATCCCGCGATTAGAATAGAAGAACTGGGAAAAAAAAGCCCGGCGAAAAAAGAAAAAGCAGTGGAAAGACAAAAAGCGCTGCTCGCGGAGTCGGAGATGGCTCGGCATTCTGTCACGGATGTCAGAAGGGACGAACCGTGGAGAGGCAGAAGAGCAGAGAAAGACCTTATGCGAAGCGGCGGAGCAGGGGGTTAGCCCGGGCTCAGCAGAGCAGGAGTTCAGGAAATGCCGTATAGAAACCTACGCCCTCAGGCCACGGACGGAGCGGCGACCTGGTGCTCGGCGGGTCTCGGGACATCCGAACGTCAATGCTGAGCGAAGGGGAATGAGTGACCCGGAAATATATAGCCCCAGAGAGAGAGAGACACCAGAAGGATAGCAAAGCACAGGAAACTAGGGACAGGACAGAGCAGGAGCGCTCTCTGGCTGCAGAGGGTGTAACAGTTCCTTAAGCAGGTGAATGATCACCTCAAAACACGTGTAGGCCCATGTGACAGATATCGTCGTGTGGGTCTTAAAATGACTTGGAGGCTTGAGATCGTGGTATCCAGTTTGGTAGTTTTAATTCAAATAAACATAAAGATAAAATGTGACAAGACATCTGGGAAAAAATCAAAGCTCTTGCATTTAATTTGGCAACACACACACAGCTAACTTTAACTTCTTCGATTCAAGTCACGAAGGCTCCCCTGACAGCCTAATCACAGTCGGCCTCTAGAGCAATTAAATAAATGATTTCCCAAATCGGTGAGAACCATTTTCATCCAGGGCTGTCAAGGGGGTCAGTGTGTCTCTCCAGGTCTGTTTAAAGCAGGGCTGTCCAGTCCTGGTCCTGGAGGGGTCAGTGTGTCTGCAGTCTCTCCAGGTCTCTTTAAAGCAGGGCTGTTCAGTCCTGGTCCTGGAGGGGTCAGTGTGTCTGCAGACTCCCCAGGTCTCTATAAAGTTGGTTTATCTGGGTTAAGGGATGAGTTGCAATAAGAACCCACAGACACACCAGTCCTCCAGGGCCAGGACTGCCCACCCCTGCTGTTTAATCAGACTGAATCCGGTTTCGGTATACGGTCACACCAAAACAAAAAGGTAACAGGTTTGTTTTGGTGGTTTGAGATTAAGGTGTTCATTCTCTCCCTCCTCCCTCCCTCTCGACCACGCCGTCTCCCTTCTCCTCGCCAGCAGCAGGCCGGTGCTTCGCAGGCGCTGTCCTCCCCACCTCCCTCTCGCTGTGTCCCGGTGGGTGAACCTGTGCCCTCGATTTCCCTCTCTCCGTCTGTCCGGCAGGGAGGGGGATGCCCTCTGCTGTGCGGCCCCAGGCCCCCCCGGACGGAGGCTGGGGGTGGGTGGTGGTGGGCGCTCTGTTCGTGGTGTCGGCGCTGGTGTTCGGGGTGATCCGCTCCTTCGGCGTCTTCTTCGTGGAGTTCGTGGATTACTTCGACGAGAGGGCCGGCACCGTGTCCTGGATCACCTCCATCGGAGTCTCCGTGCAGCAGCTCGCAAGTCAGTGTGCGGCGTCTGGGGGGGTGGGGCTTGGGAGGAGGGAGAGTGAGTCCCAGCACGTTGCAACATCCATCCACTTTCTCGCCACTTTATCCAGTTCAGGGTCGCTTGGAGGTCGGGGCCTATTCGGGCAAGCAACGGGCACGAGGCAGGGTTCACCGTGGACGGGACGCCTTTCCATCTCAGGGCAGACACACACACTCAACAGTTTTCCCAGAAGCCAGTTCAGTCTTTGCACTCTGGGAGGAAACCAGAGCATCCAAACTTGCAGATAGTGACTCAGATCCGGAATTGAGCCCGGGACCCCCAGTGCTGTGCCGCTGTTGCAACTGTTTTGTTTAAACGTAAACTAGCCTCCCACCTCTCCGAGACAGACAGGCTTGGCTTCATTGGCCCCTCTGAGTAAGCCCTTTCTGGTGTGGGGGGGCAGCCTGGGGGAGGCTGGTGTTGTTCGCAGTCCTGTAGGACTATAACGGATTAGACCCAAGGGATCTCTGCAGGCTGAAGGGCCTCCCTTCACCTGTGTCTCTCCTGGTGTTGTGAAGACCAGGGCTGAAGGACAGAGAGGCCAATACCGCGGGTCACATGCAGGAACTTTTGTGGAAAGTGGGACAGCGGATGGAGAATGGATGGATACGTAGAAGGATGCATTGTATTCCATTTAGGGCACAAGAGGAGGAAGACCAAATCTCTTATATTAATAATCTAAGGAGAATCCTAGGGAATTTAGGGATTTTATTTTACGTCCTAAGTGATCCCGTTTGTGACAGGACTTCAGAGGAGGCTGGGGGCAGACATTAATCACAGTTATATTATATATGTGTCTGCAGTTTGTAACGTTCATAAGGTCAAGCGATGTGAATACACTAAGAAGACCAGACGGAACAGCGAAGGCAGGTGCAGCCACGTGTTGCTGGGAGAACAGGAAAGAAGGTGTTTTCGGGCGGCGGGATGGCTGGGCTTGGCTGCTCCCCGCTGCCTGCTGCGACAGAGAGGGCACCGGGCCGCGGTGCGGATACGGGGCGGGGCGAAGGCCGCGGGAGAGCGCGTCACTGGCCTTCTGCATGGCCTTGACATCAGCACCCGGCTCACGTTTCCCACGTCTCCCTCTCCCGGCACTCAGCAGGGTACAGGTTCCCAGGCTTATCAGCTCCCGGGCCGTTACACAGGAAAGCCGGGGCTAACATATTTCAGATTGTTCGAATGCCTTTTGATCCGTCAGAAGCTTGTTTTGCCCTTTTAAGAACCGTAAACAGCTTAAAGCCTCCGGTAACTGGTGTGGGCTTACAAGAGGAAGACATGGAGTGGATCGCACTGCTGTGCAGTTTTTTCATGCCATCGAGGCCGGTCTATTAGTTGTCCTGAATTCCAGACTGTGTTTTCGGAATGACGGGGCACCCGGAGGTCACTCTCCCAGGTTCTGGAATTCCCTGCCTGACCTTAGTGGAAACTCAGAGTCTGGTGGAAGAAAGTGGAGCGGTCTTGTATCCTGTTAGGTCTTGTTTCAAGAGGAAACTTTAAAGAGGAACTGCAATGCTATTTCAATATTGTGGGGTTAGAAAGAATCGTCACCTAGTACATTTCAAACCACGATGAAAGGACAATGTAAATTGGTTTTACACATTGCTGGGTACATCATAAAATAGCCCAGAGTTTCGAGATACGCTGTCATTGTCTCTGATTCAGAATGAGGCAACAAAACATCCGGTGAGGTGAAGCGGCCCTATAACATTGTCAACAGGCGGGTTTGTGAATACATCTCTTTTAATGCAATAGAAGTATTACTCTCGACTTTTGAGACCGTTTTGCTGACAAATACTACTTCTTAACTCTGCTTGCAGATCACATTGGAGCATTTCTGCTGCAAAACCTGTATTTATTTGCTTGGATGTCACATTACATTGCTTAATAATACTAATTGCTTACACTTATATGAACTGAAGGACGGCGCCTTTTTACAGTATAGCGTCCCCGTCACTATACTGGGGCATTAGGACCCACACAGGCTGCAGGGAGATTACCTCCTACTGGCCCCACTAACACCTCTTCCAGCAGCAGCCTTAGTTTTTCTCAGGAAGTCTCAGGAAGTTCATGTTGCAATTCTTGCGAACTTTTGCCAAGATGGCGAGTATGTAGTGTTTTTCACAGCGTTCACGATTTTGTGCTTAATTTGTAATTTGTAAAATTTTGCAATGCCTCCAATTAATTAATTTGTTACCGAGATTTAATAACTGATCTGAGTTTCCCAGTTGCGGTTCCCAGTTGAATTCCAGGCTGCTCTGGGTCGGCGGTGTCTGACATGAAGGTGTTGTTTGTTTTGCTTGCCTGTCAGGTCCAGTGGCCACTGCTCTGTGCAACGCCTATGGGCCGCGGCTGGTGGTGATGGTGGGCGGCCTCCTGTCAGGACTGGGCATGATCCTGGCCTCGCTGTCCACCACGCTCGTCCACCTCTATTTGTCCGTGGGGATTGTCTCAGGTGAGACAGCATTCTTGACCTCCCTCAGATGACCTCTGGCCATAAAGGCTGAGCCTGGCCACCACCGGGCCAGTCCTCTTGACGTTCTCCCTAAGATGACCCCTGACCTCAGAGGCACAGTAAAAGCTGGGCCTGGCCACCACTGGGATGAGAGACCTTCTCCCAAGAAAGCCAAGTATTGGCGAGACCTTTAGGGACGCCAGTGTATCACTGAACCCTGGCAGAGATGAAGGCAGAGAATATGATGATTGAAAAAGAGCCTTTGAGACAGATTACGTGTTTGTGTTTTTGGTTTGATTTGTCTGGAGCCTGGAGATCTGATCTGATCTCCCTTTTTTTTGGATGAGCGCACTTACTCAGCAAATCTTAAAATTCATGGCTTGATCAAAGTTCGTCCCAAATCTCGTGAACTAAACATTAACCGTTCGCACAGTGTGAATTTTGCTTGCGGGAGGCAGAGAGCATAGGCAGGTCGCGGAACAGAGCGGTGGCCTTTCTCTGTCCAGGCCAGGGAAACCGATCCCAGGACTCGTTTCAGGCTGTACCAGTCACATGCCTGTCCTGATGAAAGACAGTAGAACAGCTGCGTTTTTAAACGCCTGTTCAGTGGTTCTCAGACAGACTGCAAGCTTGAGACCTCCAGCTTTTGGTTTAAATCCAGGAGGAGGAATAATTGTCAATGTACTGGGGCGTCGGTTTGTAAATTCTGGTCCAGAGGGAGATGCGCCCCCTACTGGCCCACCAACACAGTAGAGTGCAGCGATCTCTGCTGTCTAATGAGATCATGCTAGAAGGTGGTAATGCTACTACTAAATTGGTCTAACTGACAACTCTGTAAAACGCTGAATGAATCAAACTTTTTTTGTGGCGGGAGTGTGATTCACAACACTTTCAGACCTGGAGAAGATCAGATGGCTGTGCATCTGCCCCGTTGTCCAGGCTTTGAAGGATGTGTTTCTCCGCACGAGGTCCCAGACTGGGGGATGGTGGTGGATCTCCCTTCGTCTCCCTCTCTGTGGTGCTAATGATGTCTCTTGCTCCTGTTCCCAGGCATGGGCTGGGCCATGGTTTTCACCCCCACGGTGGCCTCCGTGATGCAGTACTTTGAGCGGCGGCGCTCCCTGGCGATGGCCCTGGGCTTCACGGGCGTAGGCCTCTCCTCCTTCGCCTTCTCCCCCCTCTTCCAGCTGCTGGTGGAGCGCTACACCTGGAGGGGGGGCCTGCTCATTCTGGGAGGGCTCTGCCTCAACATGGTGGCCTGCGGGGCCCTGATCCGGCCCCTGAGGCTCCGGGAGGAGGGCGGCGAGGTACGTGCACGCACACACGCGCGCGCTCGACTGCAGACAGGAGCCACGGTCCTGCAGGTTTCACAGGCGCTTTTAACGGCTGCCAAAAGCTGCAAAAGGCCCAGAAGTGAAAAACAGAACGGTCCCTTGTTCCACAGGTGCAGAAGAGCCAAAAAATAAATCACAGATTGCATGTCGATGGTGCGCCCCCGTCATGTCACGCGTCTCCTGTCTCCTGTCTCCTGTCTCCAGGGCGGCCCCGAGAGGAGGGCGTCTCTGCCGGGGGGCTGCCTGTCCCAGGCCCGCGCTTACCTGGAGCTCTCCCTGCTCCGCCACCGGCCCTTCCTCTGCTACTCCCTGGCCGTCACACTCTTCAACGCCGGCTACTTCGTGCCCTACGTCCACCTGGTGGCCCACAGCCGGCAGGTGGGCTTCAGCGAGTACCAGGCGGCCTTCGTCGTCTCCGCCACGGGCGTGACCGACCTGGTGGGCAGGGTGGTCTCCGGATGGGTCTCGGACCTGGGGCGCCTGCGGCTGCCGCACATCCTGGCGCTGTGGACGGGGCTGACGGGGCTCTCCATGGCGGCCATCCCCCTGGGCACCACCTACCCGGCCCTGCTGACCATCAGCCTGCTGTACGGCTTCTGCGCCGGCGCCATGACGCCCGTGGTCTTCTCTGTGGTGCCCGAGATTGTGGGCATGGAGCGCCTCTTCGGGGCGCTGGGGCTGCTGCAAATGATCGAGAGTGTCGGGGGTCTCCTGGGGCCCCCACTGTCAGGTAAGACGGGTTGGGGTGGTGTGCAGTTAAAGTTGAGATAAATCTCTGTTTAAATTTCCATTTGGAGGAGATCTACCTGGTTTTTAAGTCTGTCTGTACTCGCCCATGTTGGAATTGTTCACACCATTGACTACTGCGCTGCAGGGGAAGAAGGGAGGATTTGCAGAACTGCTCCTTGGTAATGCTGTCCTCCCAGAGACACTGTGAGCTGTCCAGCGCCTGACAGGAGAGGGGGTGCTGCCTGGAGGAGTGGGGTGTCTCTCCCTGACACAATGTGAGCTCCGGTACCTGACAGGAGAGGCGATCCTGACTGGAGGAGTGGGGTGTCAGGGGTGTCTCAGATCAATCAGAGCAGAGCAGATCAATCACAACCCTACCCTAGTGGCACTGATCCAAGTCATTACTGCTGTCATGAGAAGCTCAGCCACAGCTGGCAGGTGCTGTGACCCTGGTTCCAATACAGTTACCTGTCCATCTGCCTGCCGCTGAAGAGACCCAAGGCACTCTGCGGACACAGGACACTTTTGCAAAACTAAGGTTAAAGCACATACAAATTAATTATAAATGTACCTAAAGGCACAGTTTTATAAGAGATAACAAAAAGGCCATTGATCAGATTTGGTTTTGCGTTCGGTGGTTTCCGCGAGTCGCCCAGGGTGACCATGATTTTGCGGTGACTTCGGTGAGAGAGGCGCCACCCCTGCAGCTCACCCTCTCTCTCCTGCGGGGCACTGAGACGCTCGCAGCCCGGGCAGCCGAGAGGCGGGCCGCGTCCGAAGACGATTCGCCGGCAGAGCTCAGGCGCCGCAGCAGCGAGCAGAGCGGACTGGGTGGGTCCGACACAGAAAAGCGAGTGCATGTAGATGTTAGACGAGAGCTGCGCGCTGCCTGCCCTGACTGGAAGAGTGCGGCTCTGTCCTGATGGCGGCGCTGTGTTGCCCTTTACCCCACAGGCTTCCTGAAGGACGTCACCGGCAGCTACGTCATATCTTTCCTGGTGGCCGGGGGGTTCCTCCTGGCGGGGACGCTGATCATGGGCACGCTGCCCCAGTTCTTCTCCTGCGCCAACCCGCCGAGCCAAGGTCCAGAGCCCGGGTCTCAGGCCAACGGGACCGCCCACGGGAAGACGGAACCGGCCGTCACAAAACCCAAGAGCCTCGTGAACGCCTCGGAACCGGAGCGACCTGTGGACTTCCTGAATCACCAGGGCCAGGACGGGCTGGCCGAAGCCCAGGGGACGACCAGGGCCATCCTCGGTGGAGAGGTGAACTGCTGATGATGGCAGCCAATCAGAGGCAGGACCTACTCAGGGCCAGTAGCCAATCCCAGCCCTCCTTTCCCTCAAAGAGCCAATGGGAACAGCTCGTCAACTACTCAGGGTCCTTTAATGGGGCTATAAAGAGGTTTTATGTGAGGGGAAAGCAGGTTTGATATTTGTAGACAGGGTTGTGGGGTGTGGTAGGGGGAGTAGATTTTTACAGCACTTTAGGAACAAACAGGAAAGAAGGACTGCTGGACAAAAAGGACAACCTCATGCGAGAGCAGTGCAAACCAAGGTTCGGTATTTCATTATTTGGTGATCGGCATGGGGGGAAAAAAGGATTAGTTTAGGAACGTTAATCCCAGGGGGCGACTAATGCAGCACTGAATAATTGCACTATGAAGTCTTTTTCTGCGTCTGCGGCTGAGCGTCTTGTGAATCAAAGTGGAAGAGTCCCCCTGTTCGCACGACTGTCTCTAGAGCGCACAGCGTGCCGCATGCCTGCACCCCTGGTCCGGCCATTCTCCGCACCACCTCACAGCTGTTGAAACGAGGGACATCTGTGTTCTCTCTCTCTCTCTGCGTACTGTGTGCATCATTGCAATTCCACCAACAACGTGATCGTCTTCCGTGTGTGGGAGGTGCTAATTTTCACACTGGAGGCTTGTCTCAGGGCTCCTGTGTTTGAGATAAATAAGCCCCCATGCCCGATGTTTTTCCCAGCTATCTGCTTCCTCTTGGGAAGGGTGTTTTTGTGCTTTCTCTGGAAGGGGTGGTGTCTTTCCTCCTGTTGAGTGTTTACAGGCGAACATTCAGCCTTAAGAGAAGCAGACTGTCTCTCGTCAAGTGAGGAGGGAATGCTCGACGATATGTTAATGTCTTAAAACTGACTGCTCTTCAACTTCCTGGGAAAAAAACGCCCGTTTCCATTTTGTCTTATTTCCTGCTGTGGCAGAGCCTTTATAAAGATCCCATTTACCACAAAACATATTCTGCAATATGGTGCACTTACCTAGCAGACCTCAGAAAGATGTGACTGGTCTGTCTGGTATTTTGTTTTGGTTTAACGTGAGCAAACACGTTTGCATCTCCATGCCTGTTTACTGCTGGCTGGATGGTGGTGATGTGATGTCATCAGTTTGTACCCTGCTTGTAGGTGAAGTGATGTCCTTAGTTCAAACTCATATTCTAGTGGGGGGGGGGGAAGGAGTGGCTTCTACCTGCTATTGAGGGTCTAAAAAAATCAGCTAAACCCTGGAGTACTCAGCAGTTCTCACAGTATTGATGATGGTGTGAAAGAGTTATGGAGGTGCAAGTCCTGTTCTAAAGCTTCAGAACTGACAGTACTGTGACTGGAATACTACAGCAGGGACAGGGTCATACTTCCTGCAGCAGGACGTTCGGACTCAGCTGGTGCTCTCCAACACCGGCAGAACGGCATTGCGGCCCACCAACACTACATCCATTCTCTTGACGATGCACTGGGCCACGGGGCTGGTGTAGTAGTGTTTAAAAAAAAGCCAACAAACACCCTCTTAATTGTCCCTGTCTGAATCCCAGAGCAAGAATTCACAGAACCAGATGCGTGCCGGAGAGATCAGCCAGCCCCGCGGCTGTAGGGTCCGCCACAAGAGAACTCCGGCAGCCGCTGTGGCCCGGAAAGGATGCCACTACCTGTGGCCACAGCCCCTTACTGCAAGTGAGGTTCCACGGTGTAGCGGTGATCATGTCTGCTTTACACACAGATGGACCTGGGTTCAAGCCCCAGTGCAACCTCCATTCTTTCTTTGCCAGTGCGTTTAATACCAGGAACAGGAAGCACTTACATAAAGAGTGGTGGGAGTGTAGAACAAGCTACGCAGCCGTGTTATTGAAGTCAATTCGCTGCCTTTCAAGAAGGGTCTGTGCGAGATCATGGGATCAATTAGCTAGTAATTTGTTCAGATGAGCCAACCAGCTTCCTCTTGTTTGTCACCTTTCTTCTGCTCTTATGGGTGTTCTTACTCCATGGCCATTAGGGTCTCGCAGAAACAAACATCCAGAAAAGTGATTTCTTACCTTTTGTAAACGTATTTTTTACTGTGTCTGTAGAAAATAAACCTGACAGTTGTTAAGTCTCGTGTTGCTGTTGACCCTTTCTCCAGTAAGCAAAGCTGTGGAAGACGGGGGGCAGTTCAGCAGAGGGGCGGACGAGTGACTGCATGATGCAAGTAGAACACAGTGAAGGACTGGCCATAAATGCAAATATTTATTTTTAAAAAATGTACATGCACAAAACAAAACTGACAGTAAAGCTCACAGACAATAAATAAATCAGCAGAACTATACAATGATCAACCGAACTGAGTTCATATAATAACTGTATTGTAGGAGAACTGGGGCCATTGTGGCTCCGGCAGGGTGCCCATACTGTACTCTCCTCCTACTACATACACACGTCGGTGGAGCCGAAATGGCAGACATGGGGCCACAGTGTCATATATTAGTTCTATAAACCAGGGTGGTCCACTCTCGATCCCGGAGAGGCCACAGTTGGTCATTCCAAATCAACTCTCGTGACCTAATTCGGAACATTACGAGCTACTCTGGATCAATTAGGCCCTGAAACCAGCAGAACGAGAAGGTCGATGGGAGACAGTGAGGTCTTGGTCAAGACCCAGACGAATCCATGTGAACTTTGCGGTACGCACTCCCCTCTCAGTTCTCCCAATTTGTAAGAGACAATTTCAGTTTGTTTTTCTGTGAACTTTACACCCAGAAAAATGTAACTGCTCCAGTCTTCCTTGCCGGGACAGCTTTTCATCCATGAGGCTGAGGACCTGACGGCATCTGTAGTAGCTCAGCACACAATGATCCTAATTTCATGAAACCACTAAATCACCTTTTAAAAGTTAGCATTTAGGCCCCTTTGATTCTCCTTTCCTCAATTTCTTCCACGTTCCTGTTTTTCAGCGATTACCTGATTCAGTCGTCTGGAAAGAGTTAACCTTCCCAGCAACTGGTGCAATTACTCACCAGAAGATCTGGGCCTCGTGCTTCCTAAGGAAGAGAGCTGACAGTTAAAACAATGCTGTTTGTCAAGATAGTCATGCCACGCTCACGGTTCTGATAGGGAGGTGAGAGCACAGTGCTCCCTTTATACAGCAAGGGCTGTTTCCAGCCCTGAATGAACCTTAACCCTAGATAACCGCCTTGTACTACGACAATCTCAGCACAGCAGCACGGAACAGTGGTGCTCCATTAGCACTCTGAACGTTACAGAACAGTGCAACAACACCTGTGTTTTCTTTCATTCTCTTTGCATAAACCTGAAAACAATAACAACAAAACAATAAAAACAGCAGAACTCTGATATGTATATACAGTATACAGTGCAGAACTCGCTTAATAAACTTGCTTGTTTTTCACCAGTCTTAATTTTGTAGGATTGTGGCTCTCCAGGACAGGATGAAAAATATCAAGCATTTAGAAGGTTTGTTCATTAAAAATCCTAATGCCTCGTTGCTGCATACTCCATGTGTCCACTCTTGTTAAAAAGCATCTTTTGGAACGTCATCTCCTTTCACTGGTCCCGCTCAGGCAATCCTAGCCTTCACTTTGGTACTGCGTCAAACTGTTCCACTAAAAAAACTCCCAGGTACAGAATGTGTTCGAGGGTAACACTCAGCAGCTGACACACGGCTCCAACCTGCAGCCCCTCAGAGCTGGCAGAGCCCGTGACATACAGGGTGAGACAAGCTGGGCTCTTCCTCTCTCTTCCAGGACCTCAGCCTGTGCTCCATTTGCATAAGTGATCCTAAATCAACATTAATTAGTTATCTAATACATATGAGCTTCTGCTGGAGAGGATGTGATAACAGGGGTTAGAGGGGTGGCACAGGGAGTCAGAAGCAGAACCAGAGGGAGGGAGGAGGTTCTGATAATGAAGCGTTTATTTTGACAGTGGGGGCCACAGGGGCTCCTCTGGTTCACAGTTCTGGGCATCGGAGATCCCCAAAGTCTCCAGGGGAGGAGCTGGGACAAATTCTCAATGTAGTGAAGAGGAAGAGCCCAGATCAGCCACCGCCTGCACCGCACGGCGCCATACATCCGAATCTGAACCAAAAACCCAGCAATCTGAACCACCTGCCACGGAGGCAGGGCGGGAGGGGTAGGGGTGTTTGATCAGCAGGAGACCTCTGACAGCCGTCCAATCAGAACGACCTCTACCCCGCCTCTACCCCCACCCACCTTCAACACACACACACACACACACCCCCCCACACACACGTAACCGGGCTAGGGCGTCTTGAGGTCGGTGCTGCGGCGGTTCAGTTTCTCCGGGTTGTTGGAGGCCATCTGGGAGAAGTCGCGGAAGATGTCGTGGTACGTCTCGTCCCCTGCGAGCAAGAAAGGGAGAGATTTAACACCCCTGGCGAGTGAGGACGTTTGCAGCCCAGGGGTAAAGAACAGCGAGGCAGGGCGGGATACTCCCACTGTCTCCGCAGTGTAAGAAACCCATCCTTTGCCTACTCCGACACCGATGCCGAATGTATTTGTGAATATGTAATTGTATGGTTTTTTATACAAATGCTAGGGCACGCGTGTTCTGTCGCCCATGGAAACATGGGTTTCCATGTTTAAAGCGGCCGTGTTTTTCCATTTTTCCATGTTTCTGCCCGGTTCACAGGCATGGCCGTCAGTCCAGGACTTCCTGAGGGTACAGTGCCTAGCTCCCGTCTGCGGGTCTTTAGCGGTGTCGCTGGTTATTAAAGCGGCGCACCAGGTGACCGCTGTCCTGCGGCTCTGCGCGAACGGGGGCACGGGCACATGAGCGAGACGAGCGTCTCCGTCGTGAGACAGGTTAGTTTTACCCCACTGAGGAGGCGCGGTTGCAATGGCCGTCCTGCTCAGTACGAGAGGAGGAGCACGTTCAGACATTTGGTGTCTCCGCCTGGCTGAAGAGCCGTCTGTGGGATTATGACTGAACGCCTCCAGGTCAGAATCCCCCCTTAAACAGTGCTGGTGAGCTGCTGACGGGGGAGCTGTTCCACCTGGGCCAGAGCCGGCGTGGCACCTGTTCAGGGCGCAGGACGCGGGCGGCGGGAGGCGGGAGGCAGGAGGCGGGGCCAAGCGCAGTGTTACCTGTTCGGGACGCAGGACACAGGGCGGCGATGGCGAAGCTCACGAGTGCTGCGGCCGGCAGACATCTCGCAGGACAGCAGTGGCGGACGCACAAGGACAGACGGACAAGACACACAGACAGCAATAATGAGCGCCACAGCGTCACGTAGCACCGCGAGATCGAGGCCGCTGTTTGCACACGGCGCGCTGTGGATGCACGTACGGAAAATCCGTTACAGGCGCAGAACGCACTTTTTATCAGTGAGCGAAGGCTGGCAGGCAGCAGACACGGCTGGGCAAGCAGCAGGCTCCTCATTCTTCCGAACGGCGCTGTTGTAACAGGAAGCAGTAACACAGTGGCTCACACGTGTATCTACGCCACATGGACGCCCTTATTTTTCAAATGGTCCAAAACTCTCTTAACAAGGCTAGGGGAAGCAGGGGAGGCAGGGGAGGGCCCCCCAGGTTGCATCAGGGATCCTGCGAAGGGCCCAAATGCTGAAGGTTAAAGCCTAAGCACCTGTAGTTTGGGGGTGCTTCTTGTACAACGCTGCCCCCCCCACCCACTGTCTGAGACAGGGAGGAGAACGAGGAGCGCCCATGGATCCATCCCGAGTCCCAGTAGGGAACCCAAACAACAGCAATGCAGGGACCAGATCCCCAGAAACTGGGGCCCTGGGGTGGCAGTCTAAGCCAGGACTGAATCTCATGGGACCTCCCTCTTTAGGGATCCAGCATTTACTAAGCGTTTAGGGCACCCTGTGAAAATTGGAGCCCCCCCCGTCCTTTTCCAAGGAGGGAGACACCCCAACACCATCCGGCAAAAAGGAGAGTGTTGGGGCAGAGGTGTTACGGGAATCATGTGAGCGATGAAGTAGTGTGCCAGTGTGCCACCAAAAGGACAATTTGTGCAGAGCTGCAGTGCACTAGGAGCACAAAGCAGTTCAGGTTAAAGTTCGTGACAGCATGAGGCCATACACAGAGCGGAAAGCTTCAGGCAGCGGGACAGTACAGCATCAGAAACAGCATTATCCCAGACAGGCTTTTCAAACTCCAAACTGCTTTGCAAATGCCCTTAGTGTCATAGCTGGTCATGATTATATAAATATTGAAAATATTATACAAAAGCTTTTACAGAAAGTGCAAAATAGATTGTGGGCTCAAACGTTCTCAAAAGTGCAAAGTAAGTTTCCCAAGACTGGGGCGGGACTTGGCATTTCTGTTCCGCGAGCAAGGACATCCAGAACAGAGGTCAGCGGGGAGGCTGACCGGCCCTGACCCCAGAGACAGGCCTTGGCCGGCTGTAACCGTGTTAGCTGACCGCACAGCAGCTGGACGGGTTAGGCCCCGTTTCGTCTGAACAGGAGAAAATAAAAATCAGCCCAGGACTTGAGAAACGCTTTTTAAAAAACTTCTGTTCCTCAGAGGCTCCTGCCACCCACCGAGTGAGTGGGCCGGAACTAGGACACTTTCATAAACAGCAGGCAGCAGCACGTCATGCAGGAAAAAGCAGGGCGATTCTTCTTTATCATCTAGATGTTTCAGACGTTACTGCTGCCCCCCTGGCCATTCAGCAGCTGTGCTATTTCAGCAAAGCATTATGGGTCCGTTCCTGCTATGTAGGACTGTCAGTTTCTCAAAGGATTAATGCTCAACTTTATGCATTGAAAGTGCTTTTAAAAGCCTGAAGAGATCAGGCCATGTGGCAGCTCGGAGTCCACAGCAGAGGTGACTTTGGACTTTAAACACTTAAACACTCACTCATTAAATCATTAAATTTAAATCGCCACATCCAGGTCATCCTGACCCTGACCCCAGATTGCGCCAATTCCCTTTCACCTGCAGACCGAGGTTTCATTTACTTCAGTCAACCGAGACTCAACTAATTAGCCAGTTTCCTGAAAAGTGATTTTACCTCCCCCCTCTGAGATTTGATGTCACAGAGATGTAGAGTAACAACCAGCACCCTTAAGGGGTTTCACGTTAAAAATGATCACTGTGAACGGTGAGAACGGGACTCTAGAAGGGGCTGCATGTCACAAGAGTCAGAGCTGGGAATTCCCAGCTGCTCGTGCAGATAAGGATTTGATGAGATTGTTGTGTTTAACTGATGCGAAGCTGCTCAGAGCATGCGCACATGGAAGCTGAGGGTTTCAGGAGGGCGCAGGGGAACAGCGGTGTTTGTGGGAGTGTGGGGCTAAGCAAAGAGGTAAAAGTCTAATTGCTCAAGCCCCCCATGGTCCATCCTGTCAAATGGTTCCGGAAGGCCTGAAAGCTCTTCCTGGACACGCCCCCACCGCTTGAAGGGACCTCCCTCTCCCTGCATTGACCTGATTGGCCGTAGGCGCCTTCCATTTCCCGCATCATTTCCTCCTTCATCTTGGCAAGGCGGAGCCTGTGGGCAGAGAGGGTGGAGTCAGACAGCACCAGTCAACAAGGCCACTGTGATCGGGTAACGCCCACAACACACAGTGTTTGAGAACCAGCCGTCTTTACTTTAACATGACACAGGGGAAGAGAAGCTCAAAGACATTGCTATCAATAACGAGCCCTCAAAATAAACTTGATACCTACAGTACGTGAAATAGCTGTTATCAATAAAGCCGCTACTTGTTATCCAGCATAAAAGACTGAATTTCAAGTTAAAACATTTAAACACTTTAAGAAGAGTCAGAGCCAATCCACAGCATGAGTGTGCTGGTTTCCCACACTGGTAACAACTGGTGGAAAACATCTCCCTTAGTTTCTGAGGATCTCAAGGGGCTCCAAACCCTCATCTGACAACCACAGATGGAACATACATCCACACAAGCTGCACAAGTGCAGATAATTTCAGGAAATCACACCTCATTAAAGAACGCATGTCTGTCAGTTGCATTGAGAACATGTTGCACTTCCAGTCCCTGAATAACTCACTGTATTTCATGGAGAATCTTCATTTTTATACTGCATTCTAATGCCTACAACATTCTTACTTTTTTATTTTGCACCTGCCCAAGAGAGTGGCAAGAGAGTGGACACAAAGACACGCCCACCACAGTAGCCATTCGTTCTCTGACATGCTGCGAGCTCCACCGTGAGCTCTGATTGGAGGGGTAAAGTGTCTGTCAAGTTGCCGTTGGCTGTGCTGGCTGGGCTGCAGAGAAAGAGCCCTGGAAGATTAACTCCAGCCCTGATCCAGCTCACGGAGGGCAGGAGCTGGGCCATCCTGGTCTCAGCTGGACCGGGATGGGTCTCAGGGCTCAAGAGGGAGAGGGCCATGGAGCCCCTGTTTTGTCACTTTCGCGAAACCTGTGCTGTACCTGTGCTGTAAAACGAAATCGCTCTTCCCGCAAAACCCCCCCTCGTGCCCTGTCCTGTACCCCCAGCCCCTCCCCCTCCCAGCGCGGGCCACGGCCTGCTCTCACAGCGTGACGATGTCGGCGTTGGCATTGTCGATCGCGATGGTGAGGGGGTCCTTGTCATCCCGATCGCGGGCGTTCTGGTCCGCCCCCCTCTTCAAGAACAAACACACCAGCCTGCAGGGCGGAGAGGGGGAGAGATGAGGGTGCGCATACACACACACATGCCCACACTCACACTCACGGCCACACACACACACACCAGAGTGAGGGCTGGTAGATCCCAGCATTAAACCTTCTCATTGTCGACACCATATCATCATCAGCATTCTGGAAAAACATGTTCTTTGCTGATCCCATATCAGTAAAATAATAAACAAAATGAACTCTGTTGGTTCTTTTGAAGCTGTTTTCAGGCACTGTCCCACAGGCACACACATTCATTTTAAGAATGAACTCTGAACCATCTGGACCTAAGGGAACCGAGTCAACCCCTCCCACTGTCGTTACCAGTGGGTGTAGTGCCCCCTGCCTGTCACTGTCTGCACAGCCGTACCCTGTGTGTCCCAGGATGGTGGCATGGTGGAGGGGGCCTCTTCCCTTGGCGTCGGTTTGGTTGACATTCGCCCCGTTCTGAAGCAGGAACTCACAGGCAACAAGGGAATCCTGGGATAGAGGAGGACCAAGACAGGGTGGCTGTAGTTGAGTCACAAACAATAAGACAGAGGAGAAGGGAACAGACGAAGAATGGAGAGGAGAGGGAGAGATACAAGAGACAGGAGAGAAGAGAAAAAGGAGAGGGGGGTTCTCACAGAGGACACAGCCTGGATCAGGGGGGTACGGCTCTCCTCGCTCGTGTTCACCCAGTTGACATCAGCGCCATGAGCCAGAGCGTCGGCCATCACGGGAAAGTTCTGCATCACGGCAGCCCGGTACAGCAGAGCCCCAGGGTGAAGCCCACTGAGGTCATCTTCCTCATCTTCGTCTGGGGACAAGACTGCACTGTCACTGTACATACAGCACTGCACTGTCACTGAGTACTGTATACAGCACTGCACTGTCACTGAATACTGTATACAGCACT